TGAGAGGTGTCATCAATTTGAGTTTAGGGCTTCCGGTTCACATCATTTTGACTAAACATTCCTTTTGAACGTGGTTCAGTGATTTTGCTGACCGTACCAGGTTAACAAGTGCTAAGACCTTCCTGAAACGATGACCTCTCTGGTGGTCTCACATTTTTCCAACTCATTTTTGAGTCGGTTTTTGCAGACAATCAACCCGAAAACAGTTTGGCCTTGAGACCGTTTTTGTGCATCGAAGAGGCAAATCCACCAGCAATCCGTCCGTTCATTTTTGAAACTACGAAGCTTAGCTGCAAAACAGTTCAGTAACCTTGAAAATTGACTAACGGTTGATGCCGTTTGAAGCAAAATGTTGGTTGTTGATTTTCAGTTTAGCCAAATCCGGCTAACATAGAACGAGACTCAGTTTGTTGCTCATACACAAGTGGGACAGTTGTAGTGAAGGACTAGGGTCTGCATTGGGCTTTCCAGGGTTACCACTTTTTGGAACGGCTAGGAGTTTCCTTATCTTTCAGTTGAGAATTTGAGAGAGCTTACGGATTGTTGCACTGAAAGGATAGCATGCACGTAATTCGTTCCCATTCATCATCATTGTCAGCTGTAATAACCGCGTACTTGTCGTACAGTGGTTGTAGCTGACGCAGTTTCGTCCACTGAAGATTTAGGGTGGGGGAGGGGGTAGGTAGCTGCGCNCGCATTGGCGCGGGAGCTGATAAATTAGTGCGTAAATACAGCAGTGTAAGGTGATCGGAAGCATAACAGTCTCCTGCTAATTCCTCTCAAAGTATGGTGTCCAGTTTAGTCATGTTTACCCGAACAAGCTCACTCAGATCCACACTTCGTGATCAAACAAGTCCATTCGGTCAAATGGTCAAGAATACGTCAATAGGTTAGTTCCATCCCAGTTGAAGCATGTATGAATACGTATTTCGCACAGTGAAACCTCAGAACACCGGTCAACCTCCTGAACGACCACTTTTGGTTAGTGTCTTGTCAAATTTCTGTGACCTCAGCGAACGGAAAAGTTCAATGTCTCAAGAGCCGGGTCACTGGAATCTCGACAAAAACTCCACTCCTATGGTCCTGTAAGCGGTCGCTGTCTGTCATCCGTTGGCAGGAAACAGAAAAAACAAGGGCCGATAGCGAAGAAGTCTGCGCATCTGTGGTTGTTTTTTCCCATTTGAGAAACCGAACCGTAGAGCAAAGTAAAATAACAGATAATCCATTTGGATTGTATTAACACTGATTGGCTTTGTAACGATGGCAACCCAGTTGCCCTGTTCATAGAACGCGCGTTCTAACCGAAGTGAGGGAACCTGTTCGATCAGCGTTTCCAGTTCGCCACGGACAAATAGGTGATAAAAGCGACCGGGGATGGCCGACGGACACGCGTCACACTTATCTAAAAGTCAAACGAAATTGAGACAAGTCAGGAGAGATAGGAACAAACCAGCTGTCAGAAAACTTCAATCGATGGGTGAAACACAGGTCAGTCGAAGAAACAAGTGCGTTTGCTAACATGGTTCGACAGATACACTGAATTCGGTTACAAGTAGTACAGAGAATTTGACGCGTACTCTATCAGTTAGGCGTTCAGCTGTAGCACCCTTCCGGTGCCTAGCTGCCATGCCACCCGAAGGAAGCACGAGGGCTGGGATACTGATAAGTTGACCAAGCCTAGACAGGGGAAGTCGAGTGGCGGAGGTCGGATTCGAACCACGGACCTTCCGGTCAGCAAATTCGCGCTCTAACCACCTGGGCCATCTCGCCCCAATTCTATCAGTTAATCGCAAGCCAATTTAATATGGACCCATTTATCAACTGACACAACCATGGATGAGCTGGTGAAAGAAAGAAGGCCTTCGGAGTTATTGATTAGAAAATACCAACTGACCGGTATTAGAAAATGCCAACTGACAGAAGCAAAACTCTCATTTGCATCCTATTTACAAAGAGTGGACATTTATCTTCTCCTGAATGCGTCTTCTTAAACTTTCCTGGATATTGATTGACTCCAATCATTCATTGCTCAAATCCAAGCAAATGTTACAAAGCGGCTCCACAAATCCCGCAACAGATCTCCCCTTTTCAAGAGACGCAAAGCGAAATTTCACGAAAAACATACTACTCGCGTCTCCCCATCAGTAGTATCACCGTTACACTGGTACGCTGAGCCCACGAAAAACCGATTCAGTGCTATTTGCACTCACAGCTATGGAACACTACACACTATTTTGTACGCACACACGGCAATCTCCTCAAGAGAGCTCCCATCTAGAAAATCTACTGGCCACGGCGTAGTGCGATTACCAAAAAGACACGCAGGGACCTAGAACTCTCCTGTTTACAGGAATATCCGCACCTATGTATCTCACAGCACAACTTTGCGGTGCAAGTTTGTGGAGAGGAGTGAGGGCATTTCAGTCCGTCCTAACAGCGATGAGTACAGTAATTAACCAAAATAGACCATCGCGGAGGAACGAGAGAGGCAGATTAAGTTGTGGAAGGGGGAGGGGTGTGAGGACAGTACAACGTCCACACTTACTTGGAGACGAGATTCCGGTAGATTTTCGTTGTTTCGATTTCCAAGGGACGATCATATCGGTGGCGGGGAATTCCGTACCCGATACGTGGACAGGAAGCCGAACGTTTTCTATGGGCTCCACTACATTCGGTTTGCCTTCCTCTCCTTCAGATGGCGTAGTTCGAGTCTTCCGCAAGTATCGAGCCGGTTCGGAACTTGTGGGGTCACGTTGCTCCTTTGCCCAAACCTGTGAAAGTGAGTAAAACAATACGGGAAATGACGTCAGATAGAGATAAAGAACGATGTCAACAAATGAACAGAATCGAGCTACTAGCGTACGTCTGAAATCCAATCAGAATCCGGCCTGGTCCAGCTGAGTTTTCACCTATTTGCGGTAAACGAAATATTTTGTTGGGTTGTCAACACACTATGGAGTTCAAACTTCTCCCAATCCCACGATGAAGTCACCACGATTTGTGCAGCGGCTTTTGGGGAATGGCATGGCGTTGAATATGTCGCCTTCTAGTTCCATCGTTTTTGCCTGCAAAAGTTGTTTTCGAGCAGTGTCACCTTGCTCCGCCTCCTGAGAGGATGTTGAGGCTTTCAAAAGTTGTGCCATAAGCACAAGAATGAACTTTTCATCAGTGAATATTCTGCTGTCTTTCTACTGAAGCGGAGGTGGAGGACTTGTGCTAAAAATTGAAAACGCCTTCCAAACTCCATCCATCAGTTGCTTGGGGGTGTTTCGTTCAATGCAACCTCTGTACAGATCGATTTGGGTTTCAAAGCCCGGAAGGCGATAACCGCATTCCATCCTAATTTACTTACCCGCCTAACTGTTTTGCGACATGGTTATCCCACGAACACTGTTCATGGAATATAGTATTCGTTTAGCTGTAACACCCTTTCCGTACCTAGCTGCCACGCCACTCGAAGGAAGTACGAAGGGTGCAATACTACCAGGTTGCCCGAGCCTAGACAGGGGAAGCCGAGATGCAGAGGCCGGGTTCGAACCACAGACCTTCTGGTCAGTAAATTCGCGCTTTAACCACTGAGCCATCTCCGTTCAACAAGTCAGTGCTTCAGGGGAGTCCAAGTGGAAGGTCACAGTCCCAGGGCTACTTTTGCACTAAAATTCAGGTTTATGAACGCGGAATAGGACATTTCATGAAGCAGTTTTTTTATGACGACATGAAGCTGAGCTGTTGAGAAAGCATCCCACCCGATATGGGTGGAACCAGGAAAAAATGAGACAGATCTACGTTGAAGCCAACAAAAAAAACAACAAGGGAAAGAAGCAAGTAATTACAAAGATTTTGGAGACAAATTTTCGCTGAAATAAAATTCTGCAAACACGGCTATGTTCACGAGGGCTAAACTCTTTCTGCAGAAGGAGAGACCACTGATCGCGTGCTTGTAAACGTCAGGACGCAAGTCAACTTCCATCGAGGCGAAATTTGCTTTTCATGGACGTTATTCCTAACTACTTTCCGCATTTGTGTGCATTGGTGTGGTACGCCCTTGTAACAAAAAACGGGAACTTCCACTTTACTGCAGTGGAAATCTGCAGGTATCCCCAGTCAACACGTTCACATTGCTTCGAAGTAGCGATCTCCCCCTTAGTAGAACTGCATCTCACCGAAACGGCTATCCTCGTGTGAACTTTTGAACATGGGGACACCACGTGTTCCGAAACCTGCGGTGGCAACTGATCACACACTTCAGTGGGAAGCTTCGGAACGCACAAGAGAGAACGCACTGGATTGCCATGGTGGTTAGTATGCTGTATACAACAATCTATGAAACCGCTGAGGGCGACGTAACAACTATGGTCCGATTGGTAGACCGGTTGGTTTCACTCGTACAAAGAGTGGACTTCTGTTGGTTTTTTATGTGCACATCAACTTACAAGTCCATATTTTGTTCAATAGCTGGAGAAATTATACAGTAGCGAAACGTACTTGGATGAGTCCACGGCCTCCTGGACGCAAAAGCTGTGCAAGCTCTTCGAGTGCTTGAAGTCGTCGAGGTTCTGTTGATAGGTGATGCAGGACAGCAATACATAGAAAATAGTCTAGTCTGCCTGAGCAATAGGGCAACCTGAGGATATCGCCTACGGTGACGTCAAAACCTGCAGAAAATAAAATGGTGAGAAATGTTAAGTGGGAAGAAACACTTTGCTGATGGACAACGGTAGTACATGTTTCACAGAGGGTGGCCTCAATAGCGTCAACAATCGAAAAGACCTTTGAAAACGACCCTACTGAAATCCCATTTGGTCTAGTTCCAAGCAGCACCAAGCAGCTAGCGGCATGAAGAGCGTTAGGAAACGAGCAAATCGAGCGGGAAGAGAAAAAATGCAGTAGTTATCTAGAAAGACGTTTATTCTCTCTCATGAAGATGACCTATTCTTGGATCGTGAACGAGGCAGACAACAGAAGTCTGGTTCCTGTTTTGGATCGAACACTGCATTTCAACAAACATTGCGTAATATAAAGGTTGAGCTGTGGGCTTGACAATTTTATTTAAAGAGCTTCACCGCCAACCAAGATGACATCATCTTCAGTGCGTCGTTGCGCAGCGGAGCTAAGCGGTACGTCATTAGGAATGTTGATAGGTTAAATTACGTTCTTCTATCAAAAGGCTGACCTTTGGTTATGACTGATCGTTCGCGTACATAACCTATTTGATTCCGCTGTCAGCTAATGTTCTGGGTTCAAATGACCTTTGAGGTCAGGTGTCATGAAGTCAGATGTCCTATTGCACCATCAGTAGATAATCTTAGCGTGGACAAATTGCGAAATAGTCTGGGCGAATCAGAAACAAAACAAGCGATAAAAAAAACAGATGACCACGAGCACCTCGTTCACGCACTATTTTCGCCAGGCAGCTGCTTCGCTCCATCGCCAACATCGGGGCCAATGGCGGGATAGTAGGAAGTCGAGGAGATGCGACTGAGTTTGGCTGGTTGGATGAAGCAGGCTCTTGCCGACAGACTGATCGGTTTTCCGAATTCTCCCGGACTGCTACTAGATATTTTCCGTTTCCGCAACCAACATCTGCACCCAGGGCTCCGGGTGGTTGTGTGCGCAAAAATTCCAAGACCCCGGGCCAAGGAGCTGAAGTCGTGGCAATCTCATCGTACACCTAAAAAGACAAAACAATTAGGGCTAGTCAAAGTTGTGTAGCAACACCAACTATCTTCCAACAGTGGCTCCGCCCAAGTTTATTGCTCTTCATCGAATAACTAAGGGTGAAACCAGATAGTAGCCTATGGGTCTCCAAACGAAACGTGAGGAGCCTGTGTTGAAGTCAAGACAATCACGCAAGACGATGTGGTCCCAATCGCATTTCGACCGGTATATCGTGCACATCAGCAGATGTTCATATAACCTATTGGCGTAATTATTTTCATCCAACATGGATCTAGATGGATGTGCTTGAAAAGTAAAAAAGGAAAGTGTTCAGCTGTAGCACCCTTCCGATGACTAGCTGCCATGCTACCCGAAGATAGCATGAGGGCTGGGACACTGCCAGGTTGCCTAAGCTTAGACAGGGGTAGTCGAGAGGCGGAGGTAGGATTCGAACCACAGACCTTCCGGTCAGTAAATTCGCGCTCTAACCACTTGGGCCATCTTGCCCCATCTCTGCTTGACGAGTGTATTGGTCACAAATTGGCCTGGGAATGAAACCACATGTGCCAGTGACCCACTGCTGTCCGCGTCCAAGGACTTATATCATATTTACTTTGTGTCAAGTTCTGAGATCGCTGCCGTGAAAACGCATTTGCATGCTCCAAGGGCTTGCGGGAATAGACTACAACAGGTGTGTCAATAAGAGAATCCAATCCCACATAGCGCTTACTGGCTTCGAACAAGTTGCCAAAAGCGCATAAAAGGCCATTGCACAAAACAATTAGACAGGCCCATAGCCTTAGCAAAAGCTTGATGAAACGTAGGCTCCTAAGGCCCCACAAGAATGGCGAGAATTTGCTGATTCCACCTGCAGCTTGTACCTGGATCCAGTTCGTCACGACGGAACGTAGTTGAACGTTATACTGGATGGGTTTATAGCATTGAAACGGATTCGTTCAACCACTTTTAGACAAAGAGTACACCAACACAGAACACAGATAAGCAGAAATAGGTCATGGGTTTATACTATGAAATTATCATCATCGCAGACGGAAACATGTGGGAACACAAGCGCCGTACTACTAGCACGCCACTATGTCCATTTATTTGAACAGAGCAAAAATAGAAGGGCGGGTGCTGGTTCAACACAAAATGCCTGTATAAAACATTGTCGGACAGTTTGAATGAAAACAAACAGCATGGAAGTCGCTGACGTCATCTGGCCACCACATCTTAAAGTGCCCCTAATGCCTGTATAAACATTGTCGGACAGTTTGAATGAAAACGAACAGCATGGAAGTCGCTGACGTCATCTGGCCACCACATCTTAAAGTGCCCCTAGCCAAAGCAACGAGTCGAGAGGGCCCATCCTGGAAAGTAGACTACACCAAGAACACTCAAACATTCCAGAGCCTTTCGCTCCCTCTGTGTCTATCTCTTGATGTGTGTTAACCCGAAGTTGCCCTGGAAAACAATGTTCTTTTTGGCAGATGATAACTCGACACGGGCAGTACATGAATGCGCCACTGCAACCAATAATGTTGGGTGCAACCCACAAGCGAAGTACTCACCCATCCCACATATCCGATTCCTGATAACCCTATTGTAACCCTGTCGGTGCTGCTGGCCTTCTCCAGATATAACTTCAGACAGCGATGATCAAACCTTCCAAGTAACACGCTAAAGGTCTGATACGGTGATAATGACATGTCTCTGACGATTTAAGTGACGCTGATCGGCGTTTCATGGCAATGGTTTGTCACACTGTCGTTGGAGCTGATTCAGCTGCCAATAAAACTTTGACGGCTTTCGGTGCCTCTGTTTGAAGCGCAAGCGGTGTGTTCAAAAACTGCATATCATGCCAGGTGACTCTAGTCTGAGAGCGTAAAGCACATGTCGAAAAACGGGATGAATCCGGTCTGGGCTAAGACACTCTGTTTCCTCCCTTCCAAAAACTAGAAAGACGTCGTCGGTGCATTTCGGATCAAAATAGTTCAAGAACAACTAGTCGAAACCCAATCTGAAGAGGAAACCTGCAGCGTCTATTCCAAATTCTCATCAAATGCGAAAATGGAAAGTGGAAGGTAGAGCTTGTAAGGAAACGTTTAGAGAGTACGCTCTCGGGGCTTACAAGCTCAAGTGTATGGATACAAAGGTGGGAACAAGTGTCTAAAAGAACCGGTTAAAATCGAAAACACCATATTTCGGTCTCCTATAAGCATGCCGTTGCTCATAGACTGGCGGAGCATTATAACTTGGTCTACACAAAAGCCCTTCTGAATCGGAATCATGTTTACCATTCTCGTGTGACAGGAATTAAAAGACACTATCATACTCTTCACAACGGAAGCAAAGTCGATGGCCCCGCCTAAAACAAGATAGGAACAATCGAGTAGCTAGGGTGGAGTCGGGTGAAGTTCTTGTCATAGAGTAGATTGTAACCTCATCAATTGATTGGAATGGGTGACATCCCAAAGACTAAGCAGTTGGAATTGTTACCATATCCAGTGACAAGAGCGCAAATAAAATACAAGAGGCAGGATCCAACCAAAGGAATAAAAACTCATCAATCAGGTAACACAAGACGAGAAACAGTCTTTTTTTGGTTAGTCTTCTAGCTCGCGGGTGAGAACTCAACCGCAGAATGGACAACGAACCGGTGGAGACCGGTACATATAGATACGCCGACAATCGAGCCGTCTTACGAGTTCTGCATGGAGCTGAACGGGCTTCAGAAATAAAAATGGCAAACGCGCCCCGAAAAGTACCGAATCTATGTAGTGTTCCGGCCTTACCTCATGCACGCATTTAGTTTCTAAAGCCACTGGATCAAACTGCACGGTTGCCAAAGTGGGGAATTCCGGGTGAATTGAATCAGAGCATTGACCCGATTCGAAATGAGCCATTGGAATCCGAAAAGTGCATTGGGGGCTGCAACGAGAGAGACCAGTAAGCTGTATGGATGAGCACGCAATGGCAAGGCAGAGGTAAATAGACTCGACGAAGAATGTCACGTGGGTTATCATGATCACCCTCACCATCGACAACATAACATCAGTGTTCAACATCGATGTTTCACTGCCGTATAACCATGATTTATTCGAAAGCCTGACTGTGAAGTAAAGAATAAAGGTGGACGGGGGAGGGACTTAGTGCTAGCTAACTACAATCATTCCGAGGTGCCTCCAGAAACTCATTCAGGCAATCTGGATACAAACCGACAACGAGAACGCCACTCAAATCGATTGGCAGCCATATATTGCAGCATCTTCAACCAGGCACAATGGGGCCACGCGGACCCGTTCTGGAAGGTGAGCCGCAACAATATATTTCATACGCACTATTCTGCTTCCACTAGTATGAACTAGGCAGGGAAAAAGCACTATCTTAGGCGAACGGTGGTTCGGCATATGCCACACATGGCCTAACCAACACATACATTTAGATGTATTTTTCAGTGGAAGTCCCCGCTGTACAACCAAAAATCGGCTTTCTAATTACCTCGTTGCTGATTTGCCGACATCAACCCATCAGTGTCAACACTGATGCTGCTGTCTTTGGTGATGATGACGACGAGCTATGATTCTGAGAAAACGACTATCGAACACCTGAAGACGTCTCAGTTCCGCCGCTCGAATAGGCCAATTCTCACAGCCATACAACAAAACAGACTGCACTGTAGCTTGATTTACACGTCCCTCGAGATTCGGGGATACACCACTTTGACGCCTTAGGTGTTTCAAATTAGCAAACGCGACCCGGTCATTGCAGATTCGTGCATTGACCTTATCTGTCATACTACAGTCAGAACTAATACAACCTACAATATATGTAAAACGCTCCACAACTTTCAGTGCCTCTCCCTGTATTATAGGCGTGTTCAGTGACTGAATGACCATACTTTGTGCGTTCACAGTGCGTACCAAAGGATGGGATGTCTTTTTCATAAAGGAAACTACTCAGAACGTTGCTGAAAACCTTTCGACAGCCCACGACCGGTTTCACCCTTCTTGGGGCTCATCAGTTAGGAGAAGTTTTAGTGAAACCAACCGATGTTGAAAAGTCGGAAAGCACTGTACAACTGTTCGTCTTTATATACCCATTCGGTTTACACGGAATACTCACCTGGTACCCAGCTGAATCCCTCGTTTATGATGTTTTCCTTCAACTGAATGGGCTACACGTTTCAGATGGTACGCTTTTTCGAAATATGCAGTATATTTTCATAAAGGAAACTACTCACAAGATTGCTAATGATTTCAACAAAAACCTGCGCCTCATCCTCCTCCTCTTCGAAGATGAGATCAACAAGGTTTTCGTTGCAGGCTATTTGAACACCGGGGTTTTGGAGACCTTCCAGCGTTCGTCTCATGATTTCATCGATCAGGAAATAAAAAGAAATGGAGGAAGTGGGCATCCGTGACGGACACCACTTTGTGTACGGGAGCTTCTGGAGAGCTTGCGGTACACGTTCACACGACTGAAATTCTGAGAATGCAAAGGATGTATTATGTTCACGAAATTCCGGGTCATTCCTTACTGGGTAATCGTGTCAAGAACAGACCGGTCAACCGAGTCGAATGCGCCTTGGAAATCCAGTGTAATGGTGATGCTACTGATGGGGAGGCACGCATGTAGTATGTTTTCTCCTTGTAAATTCAACTTGAGTCTCTTGGAAACGGAGATCTATTGCGGAATTTTTGGAGTCGCTCGCTAGCATTCGCTTGGATTTGAGCAACAGTCAATGAATATCCAGGAAAGTTCGGAAAGACGCGTTCAAAGAGAAGATGGATATTCAGTTTTTGTGAATAAGATGCATAGGATAGTTTTGCTTCCCTGTCCAAAAGTCTGTAACTGGTCAGTTGGCATTTTCTAATAAACAACTCCGCAGCGAACGCCCTTTCACTAGTATTGTGGGTCGCTTATACGTATGGCGGGGTGAGATGGCTCAAATGGTTAGAACGCGAATTTACTGACCGGAAAGTCCATGGTTCGAACCCGACCTTTGCCCCTCGAATTCCCCTGTCTAGGCTTGGGCAACCTGGCAGTATCCCAACCCTCTTGCTGTTTTCTATGGGCGCCGAAAGGTGTTACAGCTGAACGTTTTCTACGGCGTTGTTTTAGAAGCTGACGGAGTGAAAATTTAGACAGCACAACCCCTGCCAGGCCGGAATCCCGCTTGCTGCTTCCGAGCCAGCGTTTCACGAAACACTGTAAGGCGATGAAGCACTAGTGACGCCAAAAGTCTCGTTACGACCGGAGTCAGACTGATCCCCCGGTGGCTACTATGGTCACCACAAGCCCCTTTTTTGAAGATGGTCCCCAGTTGTCTGGGACAGTCTCCTTTGCCTAACTTCAAGCAAACAGATCAGACAAGCGCTGACTGAGGATTTAAAACCCATCTTTGAACAATCCGGGTGGGAGGTCGTCCAGGCCAGTAGCTCGGTGGCTCTTGAGAGAACATACGGTAGCGAGACATCGGTGTTGAACACAGATGTCATGCTGTCGATAATGATGATTGAGAGAACGCATGCAGTCATAAACTTCCGAGGCCGTAGGTGGTTCCACGTCCACCGTCCAGGGTTTTATGTCACCGGTGGCTTCCAGATGGGTGCCAGCTGGTGGCCACGACAATTTTTGTTTGAAGTACTCGGCTCACCGGTTGAGGCATTCTACTATGTTCAAGATGGCCACTCCTTTCCGGTCTTTGATGATTTAGCTCACAAGTGGTTTCCGGATAAACTGAAATGATCTTCGGGTATTACCGGCTTTCTGGGCCTATTTTATGTCCTTAGCTTTCTGTGTCCACCACACTTCACGGTCGGCTCGCACGCTCACTTTAACTTGACGTCCGATAATTCGTTGCATCAAGCTATCTTCGGGACCGGCGGGGATATTTCTCCGAGAGTTAAGCATTGCCACCATTCGGTCTGACATCCAGTGCTTGAATGCACCTGGTGGTGTCGTGCCATAGGCAAAATTCCCAACACTATGCGAAGAGATGGCAATCTCGTCCCGGTATGAGTTCAAACCTGATAATGGAGCATTTTGAGGACTCTAGAAGACGACTCTGGTAAGTTCGTCAAACATCCGAACCTGCCAGTCTCTCCGTTACTAAGCGATTTGTCCGCACCTTACGCGGCTCCGGGAAACGTATGGAGAAGCGACTCCAGACGAGCGCGTGGTCAGAGTCCACAAATGTGTTCCAAAATGACCGGCAGTCAGTTATTGATTCGCGCTATCGGCAACTGATGGCAATGTGGTCGATTTGAGATTGTGGCCGGCCTGCCGTTGGAGGACACCAAGTGGACAGACGACTTCAGTTATTTCGGAAGTTAGTACTGCACAAAAACAGCCTGCGACCAGCACACAACTGAAGCAATCGTTCTCCATTGTCTGTCCTTACGGAGACCAGTCCATGCCTACCTCCTAATTGAGTCTCAGATCCACTAAGCCTGCCCACTTGCGCATTCATATCTCCGGCAACCACCTCAATGTCTGGACGAATGGAGAGTGATGGGGCGGTTTGTTCAACGACTGTGCTTGCATCTTGAATTCTTGCTTGAGAAACAGCACATATCAATGCCAAGCGAATCCAGTGTGAGAGCAAGAGCAGTTTGTTGTCCTTCTTGCTTCACAGTGCGGATTTTAAGGAAGCTGTACAGACTGTGCGTGGGGGCTTGAAGTTTGGTTTCGAGATACCTGAGGATGTCGGCGCCATGTGACGAGATGCTGCGCGCAAAAACCGATGCAGGAAAAACAGAGTACAACAGGAGAGTTACTAATGGGTTTGGGAGAGGGGGAGAAGTATGTGAAAGAGAAAGAATGACAGCGTCAGCAGTACCCTGTTTTCGCTTACCCACCCTGGTGTATGCAGCAAGGAACGCGACCCAGCTGATGGCACCACGCGACGGCCGATGTCCCATTGACCAACCTGGTACGAGAGACCCTGTGAGTGTCGCGGGGACACCACCCGGTATAACTCAAAGGCTCGTTGAGGCGCACGAACCGTCACTCCACGGTCTCTTCGTAACGGCGCAAGTCAAATACCAAGCTCAGTTATCGACATCCAACAATCAGCAACCAATAAACCCACCCAGAACTGATACAAGTAGAATCCGACGCCCAAATCTTGCCGCTAGCAGTCAGTTGATGCACCGGACAGCAAGCCCAACCCGCACGTGACTAGTCAGGTGGGGCGGTTGACTGACCAGCACCGGGTTCTGATTGGTGGACTGACAGTCAGTTTTGTTTCAGCATCCGCCGAATGCAGGTTGCCTGTTTTTCGCCCAGAAGTCGTCCTAATTCACAGAATGCTGCTGCTTCACACTCCCTTTATACTATGCACTGTTTAGGGTTTCCGGACAGCCTTCGTGGGTTTAATATACCGGATTCTCATTAGCATTCGAGTGAGTCTCACACGCCCGCAGCTCCACAAACTGGAGTCTCATGGGATTCAAGGGGTAATCCCGCGCTGGATTATATCACTCCTGTCGAACGGAACATTCCAAGTGAAAGTTGGATCGAACTACCCTTCTCCAGCACTGGTCTCCATTCGATTCCCTCAAGGCTCGAAAGCGCGGTACGTTCGAAATTGGTTTGGTT